AAAAAAAGAGGGAGTCGAAAAGGATACCGTCAACGAACAGCGCGTCACGGTGAATCCTTTCTCGCTCTCGTGACAAAAAGTAATATTTATGCGGCGGATATTTGTCTCGTTGACAGACGTTTTCTCACCGATAAATTTACTACGGACCTGCAGTCCTTACATTTCGATCCACGCGAGTGATAAACTAGAATTTTCCCTGAAGAATGTTGCCTCTCCGTCCTCTTTTACACGGAGTCATACATTATGGAAGAACTGCATTGTAAAATTATTATAATAACTACGTTACGCACATTTGTTATATATGCGCATAATATACTGCTAAAGAAACCGTGTATTGTTCTTTATCTTGTCACAACAAAATGGTTTCTCTCATTCATCTTTTTGCAACAAACCAAAATTTCACTCGAATGAATACACGAAAAAAACAATTATTATTATAATCAAAATAATTTATTGTTTAATATTATTATGGTAGGATGTTTAAATAGGATGATAATTGCAAAATTTTTCTTTATTTTCTAGCAACAAATTTTAAACATACTTTATAATTATATATTTTGATGGTCCGACAAAATTTTTCAAATCTATCAAATTTTTAAATTTTTCAGCAAAACCATTTTTTCCGTGCAGTAAATAAACCTTAACAAATCTTATTTAAATCTTAATGCTTATACGTCGCGTAATCGACATTTTAATGAGAATTTTTTTTTCTTAAGATGATGGCATCTTAATAAAGAAGTTTGATTTAAGAATCTGCAGACGCTGATGGAATCATAAATGATTTCGCATCGAGAAAAATGAAGCGGTCTTCTGTGATCCTTTATACGATAATTTAATCGTCACAAAAAATTAATGAATTAATCACGAATTAAATCGATAAATCATGTTTAAGCGCATTGCACTTGTTTTCATTTACCTATAGTAATTAAAAGGAGAAAAAAGTACGACGTCGGAGGCTACGCGCGTTGACTGTTTCTTTACTACGGTAAAAAAAAAAAAATAAACTAATCTCGAGACACGTCACGTAATTACAACCCCGACTTATCGACCGATACACTCGTTTAGGTGCTCTTTAAAGCTTTAACAAATTGCGCATCGTAAAATCGTAAACGCGTGGTCGTAACTTTGGCACTTGATTCTCTGATATCTTAATTCCGACTTCATTCACACGTCAAATTTATACAACTTTTACCTATAAAAAATAAAATAAGATAAAAGAAGATTTAGTGTTGTCGTAAAATTTTTCTCGGGAATATTCCAAACAACGAGACCTAAACTCATCAAAACACAAAGAATTTCTTTAATCTAAAACGTTATATCGATATGAATGTTTTCTCTAGATATAAGCTATCATATAAGCTAGATATAACATCTAGACGAAAGTAACAATTTCTTAATATCTTCTTTAATCTTTTATTGATAAAATTTGATAAGTTACATAGTTTTATAATCGTCAAAACGTTTTAACCGTTTAAACGTTTTAAATTTAATACCCTATAAATTCCAAGTCCTTCTAGAATTACGTTCTCCTCCGCATTCCCCTCGTCGATTTTATAATTAGATCACTAAGTTTATGTACACACCTCGGTCTTCGTAGGAAATTATGTTAACATAATTACGGGAGATACAATGCTGAAAGTGCACTCCGTCTTGCATCCACTTCACTTTACATGACAGAACGCTGCGTTTATTTATTCGAGCACGCGAGCATCATTATATATGCGTAATCGGTTTATTTCTGCTTCGATAATTATAACTAGCGTCTCACGCTTTTGTATTTTCAGTCAGACCTGTCGGTTTGACAGAACGTGAAAAGAAAAACTTTCAATAATTATTTCAAGATACCTACATAATGATCGTTCAATGTGATTAAATATATAATTCGACAATTATCTCAATGCTATGTTATTCGTATTCTTATTGCCTTTCATCACTGATCCTCATCTCGATTTTTCCAGTTCTTGCCTTAAAGTCAAATTTATGAGAAGCTGGAAAGTTCTTCATATATATATATATATTAAATATAAAATATAACAACTTTTCGTATACATATATATCGCATACGTGGATTATTAGGGACGTGGAATATTAGGCACTTATTCTAAATTATAAAGTTTTAAAGAGCCATAAGATCGCTGTCATATATTTGCAGGCATAATATTTATAGAATAATATCTCTAAATAAAATGTAACTTTATGAAACACGTAATATTTTAGAATAATTTTTACAATTTTGTTAACAAATACATAAGATTGAGCAAATCAATCAACAGTCATCTATTATATTACGATCTACTACTATTATCTATCATATTCTTTAGATCAAATTGTTTAACAGGAATTATATTTCCACCTGTTAATAATTACTTTTATCTCGTATGACAAATAAATGACTTAAAACTCACGCACCAATCAGCTTTAAATCTTCTAAATCATCGTCCGTTCGATCGCGGCGAGGTGTGAAGAAAGCAACAAGAATATCTTGGCATGGTCGGCGCGGCAAGACTGAAAATCGAATTCTACGAGATAATAATGTGTGTTAGCAACGCGTGAACCAAGAGGATGGAATCATGCCAAGAAACACACTTTAATGCCTGTATTATATGCGCGCGTACACGAAGGAGTCGATGGTTAAAAAGTTCGAGGCCCGTTCGAGCCTCCTCCCTTGCGGCACAATGTTTCGGGCACAGTGTTTCGGGAGAAACATAATATTTCAGTAAGCTGAAGAATATTCACGTTCGCGAATTTGCAAGCTGACACAGACAACGAGAAACTCAACTTAAACAAATCTTTTTACGTTACAGTTAAGAAAATTGCGAAGAAATTAATTAAATATTTTTTGCAATGTATAACATATTTTACTCATTAAAATTGTAGACAAACAAGATAAATCCACGACACGCGTGTACTTTAGCGAGATAATGCACTGGTA